GAGAGGGGGAGAGGGGGAGAGGGGGAGAGGGAGAGAGGGAGAGAGGGAGAGAGGAGGAGGGAAGAAGTGGGAGCGAGAGGGAGGAGCAGGCGCCATGTGCAGGCATATTTTAAAGAGTGAGTATCTGCCATGGTGGCATTAATTATATAGCACTGGAAGCATTCACAGCAGCTTACCATAGTTAATACAGATCTAAAATATTCCATCCATGAATACCTGATAATAAATAAGAAACGAAACAAAAATTATTTAAAAAAAAAATTTCCATTGATGTCCAGTTTATAGGTGTAGGGGATTTAATGAAAGACGAGAAAAGCTGCTGAATGACCACTGACTGGAAGGTTTTCAAGGAAGCAGGAATATGCAAGAACCTGCTTGTCCTAAACCAGTCTAATGACTGCAAAGGACTAAAAGAGAAGAGGAAGGTAATTTAAGTGCTTGTTTTTTTCTACTATAAAAAACCTGGGGACTCTGAAAAAGGTGTCTAAAAACATGACTGCTTAAGCAACTTCAAGTTTATATAAAGGTAGATAAAAGGTGCTTAAGGCTTCCAGCTTCATTAAAAATTCTGGTTAACTGAGAATTCCCCCTTTGTGTTCCCCAGCCTTCTGTATTTCAGCTTCTATTGAAAACATAATCCCTTTCTTATATATGCACTGACTGTGTCATTACTGTAATACTGTAATGTATCTGTGTCATTACTGTAAATAGTAATCGTTACTACAGAGTGCAACAGGTATAGAAGGTTTGGGAGAATGTTTACTGAACATAAGAGTTTCTTTCAAGTTCTCTTATTTAAAAGACATAATGAAAAAAAGCATCAAAGATGTGATTCAGTCCAGAAGTCCTGGTCTAAGTCCTAATTCTGACCTTTACAAGTGATCTTGGAAAAGTCTTTAACCTCTGAATATAAATTTCATAATCGCCCTACTTTATATTATTATTCAAATAAAATAATCTATGTGAATGTGTGAGTTTATGTTTGTCTCATAAAAATGAAGATTTTCTAATTTTTTTAAGTTTTCTAATAAATAAGATCCTATTCTAAAGGATTTTATTATATATTTTAGTTATATTTATTATGATATATTTTAGTTATGCTATATTTATTATGTTATAACCTCTAACACATTGCCCAAAGGGCAAAGAGATTAATTCCAAAATTAAGCTTCCTATTTTTAAAATAAACACATAAAGAAATCAAAATTAAAAATCACAAATCACATTGAGGATACACAGTTTTTGCTGTCTCTAAGAGGACTGTTTGGCAAAATGTATAACCAGGGTTTTTACTGAGTACCTACAATATGTCAGGTACTATTCTGGGCATTTTACAGATATCTGTATGCTTTTGGTATAATCCATAATATGCAAAGAAATATGTACAAAAGAATGGGATCTTTAAATATTAGCAAAAACATCATGAGAAAAGGAATAAATCAGTACCAGGCTTGTTCTTATTTAACATTTTTAGAAATGATCTGGAAGACAGAATATATTGCGTTCTCTGAACTTGCAACTGAAAAGCCAACTTGAAGGAGATAAAATGCAGTCGCTTTTTTAAAGACCAAGTGAGTAAGCATAAAAGAGGTAGGTAAGTGTCACCGGAAGCAAGGGCAACCCAGTGTACTTTTGGAAAAATCTAAACCATGTTTATGGGATAATTATTTATGTTTTTAGTTCCAATATCAGAAATAAACCTGAGAATCACTGTATACCATTCTCTGAATCTACTGGTCCATGATAGTGCTAGGGGCAAAAAGCCTTGAGCACCAAGAAATTAGACTGCCCCCTCTCCCAACCACACCCATTACCCTTAGGAAAGCCACAGCTATCCTGAAGCTTGTGTGTGACTGCAGCCTCCACACATGCAGAAAGACAACAAGACCTCAAGGTTTTTTTTTTATAAAAAGGCAAATGAGGGATCCCCACAGGCAAAAAGTCTAGGACTAGCACTAGGATAAAGGCTTCCTTAGGCCTGATTCATGCCTCTTTCCTACATGTAGGACCAACATTTTATACCGCAAATAATACACTTATAAAAGTCATCACAAGAAAGAATTAGTATGAGCTTAAAGTAAAAATAAATATTGAGATGATTTTCATAAACTCACTGAATAACAGGATCACAGTGAGCATTGGACAAATTCAAGGCTATTTTACAAGTGTGTCCTGACTTTAAAGGCTGGCATTATAGAGGACCATTTGCTCGCTGGTGCCCAAGAGAGAAGAGCAATTGAACAGCCTGGATCTGACCCAGCAAAACAAGTGGAGTCCCCTGGTGGCTGAATGTGCCCAGTAGTGCACCAAGGAGAAACTCATTTCAGGACATTTCGGGGGCCGGGGAGGGGGTTGCAAGGGAGGGGGTTGCAGTTGAGGGGTGTGGGGAGGTGGGCAGGCAAATACACAATAACAATGTTAGCTAAGAGAGGAGACCAAGTCCACCTTTGTGGATCAATGCCCAGCTTCCAGCACAGTGTCTGGTATACGGTGGGTATACAATAAATATTTGTTAAACAAACAAATGAAGGAACTTCTCCTAGTTGTCCCAATTTCTTGTTTCCTCAGTGTTTCATGCAGTCCCCAGAACTCCAGCTTCCTTTCCCCCATATCACTCAATGGAAATTTATCTTATTGAAGTCACCGAAGACCTCCGGATGGCCAAATTCAATGGACATTTTATATCTTCTTTGACTATCTGTGGCATTTGGCACTCCCTCCTTTAGGAAATGCTCATTCTCAGCTTCAAGCAATACCAGTCTTTCCTGATTTTCCTCTTTCCCTGTTCGCTCACTTCCCCATCTTACTCTTCTTCCTCTGCCTACCCTTCTAAATGTTGGTATTGCTTGAGGTGCCATCCTCAGACCTCTTTTTACTGCATGCCACTGGTTCTTAACCCAACATGTATAGTTCATGACACAGGCACCCCAATGGAAATTTTTCTTACGTTCATTTCTATGCAGAGAGGATCCACAGTATTCATCAGATTCTCAAAAGGTTACAAATCTCAAAAAAGTTAAACACTACTGAACACGCTTGCTCTAGATGATGTAATCCATCCCACTGCTTCAATTACCACCCATTTACCCTGATGACCTCCACATTTCTATGTCAGGTCCAGATCTCTCTCCTGAACTGCAGATCAAAATATCCAACTGCCAAATCACGGTCAACTCCATTTAGATATCCTACAAATTTATCTAATTTTAAAAAGTCCAAAACTAAACTAAATTCTCAAAATCAAATCATTAATTCAATTAACAAATGTATGAGTGCCTACTATGTACCACGCACTGTTCTAGGCACTGGGAGAAAACAGTAATGGACAAAAAAGACAAAAATCCCATATGTATGAAGCTTGGGTTCTAGTACTCATTCTATCATGTTCCAGGAAAATAGCTACCACTTCTTGAGGACTTACTCTGCAGCGGCTTCTTATCAAGCAACTACATACATCACTAGTTCATTTCATCCTATGATGATATTTTAATCTCCTTTTTGAAGAGGAAGCAACTAAGACTAGGTGAGGCTACGTATCTTGCCCAAAGTCACCCAAGCTAGCAAGCTGAAGAGCTCTGATTCAAATCCAAATCTGATGGAAAGTCTGGAGTCCTTCCAAGACTCCTCCTTCTCACTCAATACCACACCAAACCAGAAGCAAGTCCTTTTGATTTCTCTGAAATCTGCCCTTTCTTTCCATCCCTATCACCACGAATTCAGTTCTGACCTTATTATTTTATATCTTGTCTCCTACTTGTCTCTCCAGTGGGCCACTCTTCCATCCAAGCTTCTCACTACTGCCAGAGCGATCTTTCCAAATGCAAATCTCATCATGCTACTCCTCTAATTAAAATCCTCAAATACTCCCCACAGCCTAAAAAGGGAAAAATTCTAATTCTTTTTTTTTTTTTTTTGGTGGGGAAGATTAGCCCTGAGCTAACATCTGTTGCCAATCCTCCTCTTTTTGCCGAGGAAGATTGGCCCTGGGCGAACATCCGTGCTTATCTTCCTCTCCTTTATATGTGGGACGCCTGCCACAGCATGGCTTGATGAGCACCACATAGGTCCGTGCCCGGAATCTGAACTTGTGAACCCGGGCCAGCGAAGCAAAGCGCGCGAACTTACCACCACGCCACCAGGCTGGCCTCGAAAAATCCTAATTCCTAAGTAGGCGCCTAACACATAATGTGGCTTCAGCACAACTGTCAGAGTCACTGCTTCCCTTCCCCCCGCCCTCCCCTTTCCCTGCCCCTACCACAGACTTGCAGCTAGTTCCTCAAGGATACCACGTCCCTGTTCCTTTCTGTTTTCTCTCCTTACTCCCTTGAATATGGCCTTCTATCTGGCTAATTCATCCTTCAAGCCTCACTTCAGGGATCTTTGAAAGCCTTTCCTGACCTTACCTGCTCCCACATCTGGGTTAGGTACCCCTTATTCCTGTGCCTTAGCGCCTAACCCATGGTTCATAATTGTTGGGGTTATTGCTTCTGCATAACTATGACTGCACTGTGTGCAATTGGAGGGTAGGAATTGTGTGTTTCATACCACATCCCCAGTTCCTAATCCAGTGCCTGAATACATAGTAAATGAATAAAGGTTTGTTTAAATCAAACAATAATGCCTTGATTTCTATCTCTAGCCATTTATTTATCCATACACAGGTATCTAAGAATGAAGAGTATCTGTGCGGTTACCAAAATAACCACCAAATACCAAAATATAAAAGTATTCTTTTCTTCCAAAAGAATACTTGGAAATATCTTCAA